ATCTTCATTTCGCAACGTTTCTGATCTAAATGAAATTGAATTGACTTCGTTCGCATGTGGAAGCCATGGATCTGAGAACCTGTAAACGGAGCCCACGACGCGGGAATTACCAAATTTGCGGCAGATGGGCTCTATCTTTATAAAATATGCGGCGAACGAGTCTTTCCGTCGCATATTCTATGAATAGTCACATACTCTATGAATCTAACACCTACTTCGCGGCCTGCTGTCAAATTATGTGTATGGAAAAAAAACAGCTATACAAGCTTTACCTATGTCCGGCTGTCCAAAGGTTGACATGTTCAAGAAAATCTTTTAACTTTGCGCCGCCTCCGAAAAGGTTGAAATGTATTTAATATACTACCTAACGAGTAAATAGGTTTCATTCAGATCTGTTACGTAATTGTATGATTGAATGAAATAGAAATTACTCCTTAGGAAATAGAAATTATTTTATACTTTTTAGTGCATTTCGAAGTCGGCGTATTTTTTTTCTTAAAATTATATTATTTCACGCTTTTTATAAGTTGGACAGTAACGGTGCACAAATTACAAGGGACGACATTAAACAAAGCTGTAATTGATCTTGGCAAAAGGAATTTTGCAAAAGGTCAAATTTACGTTGCACTTAGTCATGTTAAAAGTCTAGATGATCTAGTTTTATCTGATTTAGCGCCAAACAAAGTCCTAGTTAAACCTCATGACGAGCGAGCACTCGCAGAAATGGAAAAATTACGACGCTTGCTTTTGCAAACAAACACTGCAAATCAGCTTCGAGCGACTGACACGTAAAGAAACAAGCCAAGTCTGTTTTTTTTCCTTCTCTTTTATTTNTCTTTTATTTGCGGCCAATTGATAAAGAAATTGACGAAGTCTACTTACAGGAACAACTTTGAAAAATCACGGTCGCCATATTTCTTGCAGGGTAAGAATAAATCTTTTGCAATATCAGTAGTTATTAACAATTAATGAGTCCCATAAATGTCTGTTACAAACGAGATCATCTTGGAAAAATCTTCGAGATTCGAAAAGTTTCATCGCGATCGGTGCATTTCTTACATAACAATACCAAAGAATAGGATTTTGCAATAACAATAGTTATTATACATGTATACTGATTTTCGGCCGACAAGGCGTGTTTGTAGAAACAGTAGAAAATCGGCGACTGCATGTTGACTCATACACCACCAGAGACACGCAGGCATACGTAGAATTCAATATATTAGTAACAATAGTTTTTCGTTAATAACTCGAAAACTAAAGCTTCCCCTTAATTGCGGATAAGGAAAAAGTTGTTCAGAATCGTGCCCCTGATAACATATTAAAAGGGCATTAAAATCGTCCAAAGTTGATTTCAAAACTTTTCAACAATTTTTCGCTAATATCTCGAAAACTAAACCTGTCCGCGAAATTTGTATATGAACAAAATTGTTCAGAATCATGTCCGTGATAAGATATTAAAAGCGCACTAAAATCGAAAAAAGATTATTTCAAAAGTAGCTGGTTTTTTGCAATAACAATACTTTGCAATTAAAAAATGAAAAATTTTTTGATAATGGTACCAATGGGGAGTCAGAACCTAACAGATGCAAAAGGTTTCGTTCCGCCAGATGCAAGAGGTTTCGTTCCGATCGGTCCATCCAGCTAGGCGTAATCGGCGGGCACACATAGAAGAAGAAAGAAAAAGAAAAAAAAAACTGATCGAAAATTGAGTAACCTCCTCCTTTTTCGAAGTCGGTTAAAAAATAGAGATTACACCAAAAATAGTATCGAGAGCCCGAACGGTTGCGGTCGGTCCCTTTACAATTGCGCTGTTCGTCTGGATAAATTCAGAACTTAAATTAAAAACGAGACTGAAAGAAGAGTGACATCCTTTTCCTTCAGAATATTTGAACAATATTATTTTTAACATGTTGAAACGATTACCCGAGGTTATTAAACATCGACAGCTTGCATCAAAATATTAGAATTATCGTCTTTCCCGTACACTTTACACATAAATTCTTTATTTCTAATGAAATGATCGATATGTATAACATATGACTACTACAACCTGTTGTTTAAAATGTATTTCCTATCAAAATGTTATAGTTGAAAAGAAATTGTTCATATATTATCTATCTACAATCAATGATTTATCATTTTGTAAAATAAGCATCATAATAATTCCCGTGTACAATAACAAATACGGAACTGCTGTAATATTTGAATGTTACTGTGAGCAATTGTACACATTTACATTTATCCAGAGATGACAGTATCGGTATTAAACTAATGTCGATATTCTGACAGAATAAAATAATGCCAAAATCCAGTTTTGGCACTATCGCATTAATACCGAATATATTCTTTAAGGTAGGTTTCTTTTCTTTCTTCTTCCTCTTTTGTTTCTCCGTTGTTTTGCTACATTGCAAGAGTCGACAACTTTTATTTCGATGAACGGGTGACCATTACGCCCAGGGCAAGGTAAGCACAGTCAGGAAGATAAACTGCGCACGTGACACCGTAACAGAAATGTTCAAGTTATATTTCTTTTCTGGCATCCGTTATGTCCATGTCATCGAAAAAGGAAATCCAGATATCAGATTTCGGTCGGATATATTATTTGAAGAGTGAATTCTGCAATGAGCACAGGTCAATAGTAACCAACATACATGGTGTGTTCCATAAGTAATGCGAAGTATTTTTTTTAAAGAAATTTATTGTACCAATTCTTACAAATACTTAAAATTCTTCAAAGTACTGCTCTTGGGCTTCTACGCCAGCGACCCTGCCATGAACGGTGCGCGTCCTGAAATGCGTTTTCCTGAAAGGTGATAAGGCGTGTTAGCGTCAACGTATTTTGGAGGGTCGTCGAGGGCAATTAGCCTGTGCTATTTTGCCTTTGAACGATTTATGATAGGGATGGACTATGTGAGGTCTATGCGAGAGGTTGTTTATGAGAGTCTAAGTGAGGCGACAGATGATGGCTATTGACTTGGAGTCAAGTGGTCATCAGATGTCGCAGGACTGTGTTCTTTGTCAGTTTGTTATTGCTTTACCTAAATGTATAGGAACGTTGTTCCTAAAGGATCTGGCCACGGAGTGGGGAAGGCATCCTTGCCTTTGGTAAGAGGACTGAGTTTGACCTCTCGGCACTTACCCCAGAACCTTGAGTTGAATCGGTCTTTGCCTTTGCCTTTTTGCCTAGCAGAATATTTTTATAGTTCCGTCTATTTCTAACTGGCGCGTTGTCGTGATGCAGTATCCAGATACCGGAGATGTGTTTTCTCATCCTGACGACTCTTTTTCGCAGTCTTTCCAGCATATTCACTTAGTAAGCGGTGTTAACTGTCTGTGCTTCAGGAAGAAATTCTTTATGGACTGTTTGACGGACTGTTTTGCTGGTTGGTGGCCGCCCGAAGCGTTGATCGTCGTGAACCGCTTCCCGCCCTTCCTTAAAGGCCTTTAACCACCTCGAAACTTGTGAGTACGACAAAACAGAGTCCCCATAAGCCTCACGCATCATTTTACTTGTCTCTTCAAGAGATTTGTTTAGTTTAGTACAAAAGCTTTATCGCGTATCGTTGTTCCGATCGTCGACGCCACTTTTTCCGTGACACGGTCACCAAACAGGGGGTCACAAAAATTAACGTCCTGTCCCTTTCACAGCTCGGAGAGCCCTGGAACCGGGTTCGTTGGAAAGCTAAGGGTCCCCCGCATCTAACGCATGTGGTGCGATCCCCCTCCGATCAACAGGAGCGGCTCAGGAATTTCCTTCGCATTACTTATGGAACACACCATGTAGGTTTCTTTATATAAAAAGGTATTTTCCTTCAAGAGGGTTAAGAAATTGATTCTTTTTTATTATATCTTTTGTTAGGAAATTCCAAATTACCCTCCCGAATAAAGCAAGGACGAAGGGCACATGGTTGTCCAATTACAGCCAGCACGGTGACGAGGCCCGATGCTGGAACGTCATGGCTATAAAACAACCCCGAGGCCCCTGAGTTTCGCGAAGGAAACTTCTCCGAACTGGAAGAGAACATTCTAGAAAGAACATCAGAAGGCGGAGATATTGTATTCTCAAAAATGGACTTAGTAAACGTGTCGGTCATTTTCATCCGTGTTTTACATTTCTTACATTATAATATCTGAAAAATATGTCTTCGAAATGTCATGCTTGAAGTCATGCAAATGAAAAAGTTATAACCATTTTAAGACAACGAAACAGGAAAATTGTGCACTGCAGCATACGTGTTTTTCGTTTAATTTAAGTTTATTCGAAGGCACAATCTTAAATAGGAAGACTATTTTATATTTTCAATTTACTTTCTCATGGCGAATTATTCAATACATTAAACTATAAGACTCGAGATGGCAAAATGATTAATTATTTTACACTCTGTTAGACATAAATCGACATAAACGATAGTATATCAATGGCGCTTTATTGGTAATTGAATACTTACAATACACAATCATGAAAGCACTCGCAGATCGTTCGTCCGCGAAAGTGGATATGACACACGTGTATTCGCCGGTAAGATCGATGTCGGGCTTATTCAATTTCATAGCTCGGTACTCGGTGTACGGATCGTTGCTGGATTTGTACATCAGATCGACGTACACTCGGTCACGAAAATATTCGGACACCACTATAGTTTTGACTATAATAGTCCGTACTTCAGAAGTGTATACAATAAGAACAAAAAATGGGTTTACATATGTTACTATACAGTGTGTAGTTAACAAAAATATAAGAGATATTTATTTACGATCAGTGTTTACAAAAATAATTAAACAAAAATGGTAAGTGTGCTTATTTTCATGTCACGAAAATATTCGGACACCATGAAAACTATGTTTATAATACTATTTATAAATCTTGTTTTTAAAAATTAATATTTTGTTGGATATCCCATGCGTTTTATGACATGCCGTAATCGCGTTGGCATATTACAAATTATTTTTTTTAAATAATCTTGCCCAATACGTAGCCATTCTTCTTGCAACCGTCTTTTTAGTTCATCTTTTGTGTTTATGGGAGTTGTTCGAATTCAACGATCTAATTCATCCCATAAATTTTCAATGGGATTTACATCTGGCGATTGCGGTGGTGGGTGGAGGACATTCTTGCAAGTGTATAATAAGAATTCTTGCACAATACGCGATTTATGTTTTGGATGATTTATGTTATCCTGATAAAATTTTATCCCACTTTGTAGTCCCATATTATGAGTACTTTTTTTTAAATTGTTTTACAAAATGTGCAGATATCTATTTTTATCGAGCATGTCGTTGATAAAAACTAATTCTCCTACTCCATGG